TTCTTTGCGGGGTTGTTATTATGAGGCGGCTCTTATCATCCAGGGGACCAAAAAGAGGAAGATAATTCGAGAAGTGAATAGCCCAACTTTGTGAAACGATGTGGGAGGTGTAACAAGAATAAGAGCTGGGCGATCTTGCAAAACCTTAAAAAGCACGAATAAGAATGTTAAGCCCTACTGAGTCCTCAAATTCGGTGAGACTGAAATTTGCATCCCGTAAGTTGTTGATTTAAAGTTGCTGGCAGCTGATCTGTGCGGAAGACACAGTCATGGAGTTGTTTGGCTAGGGTGGCATTATCTTGTGCATCATAGTGCAGGTTGGCCAAAACAGCCGAGATTCCAGTGCGCGGCCACGGAGCCAATGCAGATGGCAGCACACTGCGCGCACATCCCCAACGTGCCTCGCCGCAGCCAGAAACAAAACTCTCAATCCTTGCCAAGGGCCTCCAGGCCTGAACGCTAACAAAATCAGACTCCACAACCCCAAAACTCCAAACCCAAAATCCTGAAGAATCTCAAATTCGCAAGCCCTAAACCCTAAACCCTGAACCCCAAACCAGTCCTTTCCTGATAAATTGCCCCTCTGACCTTTACGCCAAGGGGCCGATAGGGGAGACTTTGGCCAGTTGCTTCAAGTTGTAGATCATCGACAACCTCTTTTTGGGGCTTGGATTATATGGGTTTTAGGGTTGAGGGCTACCATTGCTTCACGGTTTTGATGACGGGGGTTGAGTTTAGTGTTCTGCTGGAATCACACGTTTCGGGTGCTGTGGCAGTTTCAGCAATAACTCACTATACAAGGGCTCGGGAAAGTCGGCCCTTTTATTGGGGAGACGTGAACCCCCAATGAACGCAGAGGACTCAGGAAGTTGCCGAAGTCGACTGCGGGATCCTTTCCCCCCAATGAACGCATGGATGTTACAGCTACGAAAAGCAGCGAGAATCAGTACGCAAGTATGGAAATCCCCAAGGAACGCTGGGGTTCAACATGCCTGAAAACATCATCCAACATGGTTGCTGAAGGCCTCCGCCCGAGTGAAACGCAAGCAAAGCATGGAGTCAAGCCTACCAAAACCTACGAGAAGAGGCAACCATTTCTCTGAACCTATATCGCATCGTATAGCCAACATGGCTTATGATATGCATGCATGGAATTGTGGACATTCCGCCCGAGGGAAACGCAGTGATTTGCCTTACCGCAGGAAAAAAGGTCAACTTTCCATGTTGCGTGTACCGTTTAAGCCTCTTACATCCCTCCGTCGGTAAACCCTAAACCCTACATCTACCCCTAAACCCTAAACCCTAAACCCGAAACCCTAAACCCTAAACCCAAAACCCTAAAAACCCTAAACCCTGTTACATCGCTATCAGTGCTGGAAGTGGTCCTGAGGACTGAGGCTTGCACAAGGGTTTTAGGGTTTAGGGGCGGGCTTTCGGGGTACCTTCATACTATAGCGCCCTCAGCTCCTGAACCGTGCCAAGGCTGAACCTTTGGGATCATGCAAGGTTTAGGGTTTAGGGTTTAGGGTGTAGGGTTTAGGGTATAGGTTTTAGAGGTTTAGGAGGGTACTTTCCCTAAGTAAGCCCTATGAGCCCAAGCCTAAACCCCTAAACCCCGGTACCCCTAAACCCCACATCCCCTCAACCCCTTTACCCCTAAACCCCTTTAGCCCGAAGCCCCTAAAGCCCCAAGCCCTAAACCCCTGAACCCCTCAATCCCTAAACCCTGAGCCCTAAGCCCTAAATTTCTATCCATACCCTAAGCCCTAAGCCCCTCAATCCGAAACCCTAAGCCCTACTAAATCCCGAAACCCTAAACCCTAAACCCCAAACCCTAAACCCTAAACCCTAAACCCCAAACCCCAAACCGTTACTAAATCTCCAAACCTAAGATGCGCTTCGAAGCCAGGGGACCCAAGAACGCATGGCAGGACGATGGCCCAGCGCACCACAGCCTGAACGAAGCTCTCGAGAGGGTTTAGGGTTTTAGGGTTTAGGGCTTGAGGGTTTTAGGGCTTTAGCATTCCCTAAACCCTAAACCCTAAGCTCTAACTCTAAATTCCCTAAACCCTCAGCCTTTAGGGTGTCAAGTGTTCGGTTTTAGGGTTTAGAGTTTCGGTTGCAGGGTGTGAGAGTATTCGGACCGTCGGTTGACAACACCAAGATCCCTACCCGCGTCGGGATCTGCGGGTATTTCTCCCTAAACCCCCAAGCCCGAACCTTAAACCCCCCAAACCCTGAACCCCAAACCCCAAGCCTTAAACCCTGAACCCTCTCTTCCTTCCTTCCTTCCTCTGCACATAGCCCCCCCGATGCTCTCTCTCCTATCCTCTCTCAACCTCCTAAACCCTAAACCCTAAACCCTAAACCCCAAACCCTAAACCCTAAACCCTAAACCCTAAACCCTAAACCCCTAAACCCCTAAACCCCTAAACCCCTAAACCCAAAAACCCAAAAACCCAAAAACCCAAAAACCCAAAAACCCAAAACCCCAAAACCCCAAAACCCCTAAACCCCTAAACCCAAAAACCCAAAAACCCAAAAACCCCAAAACCCAAAAACCCAAAAACCCCAAAACCCCCAAACCCCAAAACCCCTAAACCCAAAACCCAAAAACCCAAAAACCCAAAAACCCAAAAACCCTAAACCCTAAACCCTAAACCCTTAACCCTTAAACCCTAAACCCAAACCATAAGGTCGCCTCTGAGTCTTCTTTGGTCTCCCGAGGGTTGAGGTGCACCATGTACCTTGGCAGACCAGGAGCCATGTATGCAAAGAGGGGCTTTCTCGTTTAGGGGTTTAGGGTTTAGGGTTTAGGGTTGAGGGTTGAGGGTTTCGTGACAACATGAAGAGGGGGTTTGCCTTTTTGGGTTTAGGGTTTTCGGGGTTCAGGGTTTTTTGGGTTTACTTTATAAGGGACCAAGAGAAAAGGCAAAAGGTAACACTAGCCTACCCAGGCACAAGAGGGTGGCAATCCCCTCCGTGAGGAGCACCGTGTAGACAAAGAGGGAGCCTGGGCTTAGGGTCTGGAAGGGTTTTGGTGGTTTAGGGTTTAGGGTTTAGGGCTTAGGGATCTGGTGGTTTGGTGGTCGGGGAGTAAAGGCTTGGGTTCAAACTGACAGCTTCTGGGGCTATGACTGGAGCCTTCTACAGTCCCGACACCAGAGCAGCCCCAAAAAGCACTACCTTGGGTGCGTTAGGGTTCCGTTCCTCAATCTTTTGACGGAGCTGTGAGAAGATTCGACACCCATCCGACTCCCCTGCGCCAACCCGACCCAGCACCTCAATTATCCTCCCCTAAAGGTTCATGTACCCATATAGTATATACTTGGGCCCTAAAGCTACTATATGGGAATCCCTTTAAGGCCCAAGTATATTTTATACAGGTACGTGGACCCTTTGGGCTCTCCGTGCTGCATTCGTGAAGGCCCTAAACGTATGATGAAGGTGCCAAGCAGCCCAGCGCATAGCTGTTCCTCGGGTTGCGCACGAGTCTTTGCAAGAAGGCTGCAGGGAATGAGAGGAAATCGGAGTCGGTGTAGGAAAGGCAGTGCAACTCCCTGAGATTTCCCAAATGGCGGGAAACTACCACTGTCGTACAGGAGCTGAGGGGCTCATGATCCCTGAAAACGAAATGAGCCCTAAAAGGGCTTATGGTTCATACACCTTGACAGGAATTATAGTAGTATAGGGTATATGACCCCAATTTTAGGGTTCATTTGGTTTTCAAGGATGGGTGTGGGCCGAGCAAATCACGATTCAAGATCGCAGGGCTGTATATGGCAGGCCTCATAGTGAGTCATAGGTACCTGGAAGACTGTGCCCCAAACCCCTACTTGGAGGTTCGTGTGTGCGTACTTAGCTAATCATAGCTACGCTTCTGATCATATTCGGGCAATGATGGGGCTTCTACGTGGTGTAGACTGACACCTGAAATTAGGCCACAAAAACACTCGCAACCTACGAGTACATGTTTAAACGTCGAAAAACACTGCCTGGGCTGCTGGCTTCGTGATGGCCAAGACAGTCGTGCCAGCAGCACCGAAAGCTGTGCCTCAAGCAAACAAACCGAATATAGGGTGTAGAGTTAGGGGTTTAGGGTTTAGGGTTTAAGGTTTAGGCTTTATGGTGAATTTACCCCAGGAAAGGCCTATTCTAGGCATTTTTGAGAGAACAAGGCCCCCTTCCCCAACAATGTGCCTAGGCCAGCAGCGTAGAATGAGAAGACTGAAAAAGGAAGACTGAATTGCCCCTCCTGCAGGTTTGTGCCCCAAGCCCTAAACCCTAAACCAGACCCTGAACTGACAATGTTCAAAGTGACCGAAGTGTTCAAGTGGCCCACGTGCTCGAAACGACCCATGTGACACAACTCATAGGTGGCTTCAATGAAGACTTTCCGATTTCGGTCGTCTAAACCACCTGGCATCCAGAGTACATGTTGCACGAGAGTTGTCATTGGGGGGTCGTGGGGTGGGTCGGTCTGCAGATGAACGCGCGCTCACGAAGCGCGCTTCCGTTTGGCTCGCCCTGAACCCTAAACCTTATAGTTTGGGAAATCCACCAATGCAATCCGTTAAGCCATGAAACACAGGCGCACTTCTACCTTTTTGTCTCAGAGGGCTTGAGTGCGATAGATGCAACATACATGAAGGCAAAAGTGGCAAGGAGGTTCGAGTATAAAATACACCCCCCTCGTCGAAGCGTGAAATGCTGAGGCGCTGTCAACGAAGCCACGGCGGACACAGTTAGTGCCGCATTGCCTTTTCTACTGCATGTTCAGAGCACAGCAGCCCGAGGTTTGAATTCCAGAGCTCACCGCCGATCACCGCGCACCGACTTCAAAAATATTCCGGCCAGCCCTAAGAGGCGGCGTATTTTCTTGGTTCCGTTTGCTGGAACGTCGGCGGGGATACAGACACGGTATGAGCAAACACTGCAAAAACACAACGCGTGCCGCAAAAGAGGAAAACAAGGCGATGGCAAACGTGTTGTGCAAGCTATTACCACCTACGGCTATGATCATAGCGCCATGGAGTGTGGCGGTCTTGCTGCCAGCTGCTCCAGTCCCATTCCGACCAGCGATTCTCAGAGCGCCAGTCTCCCGACCACCAAGTCCCGTGGTCAGACCAGCCCCACGTTGAGGACGACCATACATCGGCCTCCTCATGGCGAGGGGCGTTGCGCTCCTGCTGCCGGGCACGACGCTCGTCTGCGAGCCTTTGTGCTGCACGGGAAGCCTCGGCGTCATCCTTCATCTGCCTGACGAGGGTCCTCGCAGCGGAAAGGTTATCACGGACCACTGCCTTTAGGAAAATCTTGATGTCGCCAGCTTCAGTCGCATGTGGGAGCTCGATGGTGCCTTCGCAGAAGGTAAGGACATGGCTCACTCCCCTTGTGAAGAAAGCAACGCGGGAGAAGTCCTCAACACCATAGAAGCTGCCAAGCCAGGCAAAACCGATGGGCTCCTCCTGGTCATTCGACAATAAACCGGCCTGGATGAGATCACCGGCGGGCTTGTCGAAGTACACCATACGGCAAAGTGCCGTGTGGTCCACTTGGCTTGCTTCCAAACGACGGCTCGATCCGTAACCCAATGCTCTCTGTTCACGATTGCGGCCAGGATTCGGGAGATAAGCGAAAGCAACGCACTCCTGAATTGACAACAATCGGCGAGTCCATCCATTTCGGACCGCGTAAATGGCATAGTTGTGGTCAGAATCGAACTTGTCGAGCATGCCAGAGTGTCCTTGGCCACGGAAGTGCTTAAGGCTTTGCTTTGCCTGAGCAATAGCCTTTCCATCGACAGACTGAGCGCCGCGGTTGTCGTGCTGTCCTGAGCCCTGGCGTACCTGGTCAGCCGTCAGCTGCCAAAGCCGGTAGCCAGTTTCCTGAGCGATCTGGTCGAGGACGTCGTTGCGCTTGCGGCTCATAAACATGCGGAACGTTGACTGCCTGCTTCCTTTGGTCAGGAAACAGCCACAATGGAAGCAACGATGCTGCCCCTCCAAACGCAGGTTGCCGCAATGATCGCACTGGATGCGGGTCAGGCTCCCGGCGCGCTGAGTACCAGCCGCTTGACCAGAGGATGCTGCACCAACATCTGCATCGCCACCAGCGACGATTTCGATATATCCAGCAGTCGACCTTGTAGGCGATATCTCCTGGACGTCAATGTCGGTGTTGAACGTCACCCTCGGGCCTTCGGGAACATCTTCTTCTGTACCCAAAGCATCCGCCGCAACTGGGAGCTCGACCTTGATGATTGGCTTGATCGCAACGTCTTCAGGCTCCTCATCCTCGAGTTCGTAGATGACCTCCACGGTGTCTTGTGGTTCGTCTCCACCGGCGGGAAGAGTGAAACCGGCCTCCTCAGATTGAGGGGCATCAGTTTCCTCGACTCTGCTCCAGATGACGGTGTCAGACGCCGTGTCCCGTATGTACAGCACGCAGCTGCCAGGGACCGACTGACTTGAGAGTACACCTTCTGAACTGGAGTAAAAGAGCCCCACGCCAAGTCGGAGGGCCTCACGTGCGTCAACCACAAGCTCAAAAGGTCGATCGGCACGTACACCAGCACGGTTTTCGTGATGTCCGACTTCGCGATCAGAAAAATACACATGGGCATTGGCTGTTCGGTAGCCGGGGTAGAAAGCTGATTGCACAATCTTGAAGGCGCGGTCCTTGAATGTTCTGTGGTAGAGACGTTTGGGAGTCTCTTCCCAGCAGAGGACCGGCCTACCTTCGAAGGTGGCGTCGTGGTCACTCATCTCATTCTTCGGGATACACGACAGCCAGCAGTCGCAAATTTGCTCGTCGGATGCAGTCTCCATCAAACCTTTTGAACGCCCCTGCCTAGCCCGTATTAGCACAGGGTATCCGGCCAGACCATAGTAGTCGGCGAGTTGATGGTTTCTGTCGGCCTTGAGCTCAAAGCGACCCTTGTTGTCGTTCTTCACCATGGACAACAAGATGCCAAGACCGTAGCTGGTGCCGCAATCGTAGTTCACACGATCGAGAACATCACGGGTCCGACACCAAAGCTCCGAGTCGTGCATGTCGTCGTAGATTTTGCCTCTAACGACCCCGGTCACATAATTCCGAGTCCCACGTGGAATTGGCACAGCGGAAACATTGGGGAGGTCCTCAGGAGACAGGATCACCCAGTCGGCCTCATCATCAGATGGGCGGCTGCGGCTGATGAAGATGCAGACGATGCTTTGTCGAACACCTCGCCGCGCCCAAGCAAACGTTGCTTAGTTGCCTCAGGGTCCCGGTTTGTTGCAGCCCGCGATGCAGCGATGACGGCCTCCCCAGGACGGGGGGCGTTGTCTACTGCTTCCTGCTGGCTAGCCTCAAACTGGTCCCTTGGGACGTATTCGCCGCTTTCCAATCGGACCATGTCGGGAAATTCGCGGTCCTGCAAGCGGATTGGTGCCCCAGTCGGGAAACTCTCCTCTGGGCCATCAAAATAGATGTCGTCCCAAGGATCGGCCTCGACCAATGGCTGAAAAACTTCTTTTGCCCTCGTCCTCTGCAGTCTTTTGAAAATCTGGTCGTCGATCTGCGCGCCCACGGCGAACCGAGCGTTCGGTCGCGGGACGTGCTGGTAATTCACCAATGTGCGGTCCAGATCTTCAGTGCTGAAAAACGAGCATTGATGGCGAAGCACCATGATTCGAGCCGTGGCTCCAATCCACCGAAGTAGTTGCCGTCGATGATTGGTGTCCTCAAGGAAGTGAAACGAGTCGTACTTCCTAATTTGGCACGCAGGCACATTGAAGTTTTTCACGGCCAGCCCAATTTGGGCGGCATAGTCGAGGATCTCTTCCATCAAAGTGCCCCACTCTCGCGGGAGAAAGTAGGCCTTGTGGTCCGTCGCAGAGGTGAGGAGGACGGTACCAACGTGGGGGCGCTTCTGGAGTTCCTTGAGCTTGTGCAATTCACGCAGAATTTTGGGGCCTATGAAGCTCCACTGTCCTCGTGCGACGTGCGGCTTTCCCCTCCATTTCTCTGTTGAAGGTTTATAATTCGGATCCAAGAACAGGCCTTTTTCGCCCACAAGTTCATTTGCGTTCCAGACGATCATCACATCCACTGACAGGGTCTTGTCAATTGCACCAGCTCTCTCCCGCATGTTGATCTTGTCAACGGCGAGCTGTACCAGCCGCGTGAGATTGGACCCCCATGATGGGATGTACTCGACTCCTTGAAAGTCGGGGAACACATTGGTGCGGTTGACGGTGATGTCGGCGTGCAAATCGGTCTTGTAGTTCCCCTCAGTCAGGAAAGTGGTAGACGAGTCAGCAACGATGATCAATGAGCGCAAGCGGCCACGAATGTGTTCGGGCTGGAGCATGGCAAGGCCTTGATCACTAAGTAAGCCGACTTTTGCCACATTCCCGCATTCCGCGGGGTTCTTGAAGGCAAATTCACAAAGTACAGGACGCGGCACATATTTGTAAAACTCGTTCACGGCGTGCTCGCCGTCCTCCAGTGCTGCCATGGTCCGATATTCCGAACAAAGAGCGGTCTCAGTGAGACGACGTGCCCACCAGCTGAAAAGCACCTCCGTTGGTGCAACGATGCCAGCGGTGGTTCGCTCCATGTTCGGCGAGCAGTGGACTGCCGCGATGGCGCAGCAGGCAACTATGGTGTTTGTAGTCCCGAAATTACACGTGCTAGTTTCGGTGCGAGTCTGCGACAACGTGTTGATAGCACATGCGGAACGTCACGTTTCGATAAACTGTCACAAAACACTTTCCAATCATGGTGAATGCAATCAGTCATGACGTAAGTGTAACTCTCAGAGTTCCTAAGGTCCTTGCCCCTAGACTCTCCGTGTTTGTGACTGTGATCACACCTGTGAGCTGCCAGCCGCTGCATTGGAACAGAAGATGCAACGATCCATGCCTTCCTTAGTGGGAGTCCTTGGTGATCCAAGATCCCTAGCATGCATCCGTCGCAACGATACAGCTCAAGATCGTAATCCTGAATCAGCTTTTGCACTTCACCCCACTTCCAATAGTCACACTCTTTCGGGAGCTCGAAAGCAACCTGTGGTTTGAAAGTTTTCATTCTGCGCAAGATAGACTTGAGCTGTTTCAACACTTCAAGGAACAAGCTTTGGTGTTGCTGCCATTTGGGGCTGTTAGGAGTCATTCTGTTCCACGGACAACCACCCGTACACGGAAGCGACGCGAACACGAGAATCGGCTTAAATGCTCCCCCCTCGTCGCAGAGGGTTCGGATTTGGGAAACAACCGACTTCAGCGTAGAGTCCTTAAGGGCGTTTTGTTGGTCCGTAACACGAATGATCTTACAACCCTGAGCAGCCGGACGCGCGTCACCCAAGCGACTATCGGGCGAACAACAAAATTCAACGATGATTCGTTTGCAGCCCGACGGCCTCGAGAGATCTCGGGCAGGCGAAGCGGTGGCGGCCGGCGCAGGCAGCCTGAAGTTGAGTTCTTTGAGTTTGGCTGCCTCGTCACTAGCAAGTGATTCTTGCGAGCGCGAGGAGTAAGCAACAATGGAAAAACGGGTTCCAGTAAAAGGCAAAACGCAGTGTAAGTTCCGGGGGTTAAAGACGAGAGCTTTGTTGTGTGTGGACACAGCACGACCTTTAAGGTGCTTGCCGTTGGGGCCAACTCTGACAATGGCACTATCAGATGAAACACTAGGGTCCTCCAACCACAACTCTCCACCTTTAAAATCCCCAACACTGAGTGCGAAGCTCATGCTATCCTTAGCATTCCCATGGTCCTTGTGCACAGAGGCACCGGTGCTGCTGCTGAGCAACACGGAATTCCAGGTGAAGTCTTTCGGAGCATGTGCTTGCACTACGCCGTTTAGGAACCGGGCAATCTGAGGCCACCGGCGGGTCGCCTTAGTCACCCCTTGCATGCCCCCGTAAGTCCATTGCCCAAAGATGTGATAGTAGCTGCGATTATCAAGCTTAATCATCTTTCGCTTGGGTTTATTGGGATACATGACTTGGGCTACACGCAACAAAGCCTTAGTACCAAAGTCGCGTTCCTTGTTAAGCTCTTCTGCGATCGCACAAGGGTCGTTCACCGGCTGCACCACAGGGTGAGCGTGAACGGCGGGCTTGTTGATGAGATGAGCATCGGACTCGTGGACCTTTGACTTTCCTCCCCCCTGAAGGGGGACAGCGATGTGCGCGATAAGCCTTAGTGCATGCTCCCATTTGCCTCGGTCAGCGAAAGGCTTGGTAAACATATCAGCTACTTGCTCGGTGGTGTCGACATTGATCATGTCGAAAAGGTTACGTTCGAATTGTTGTTTGATCCACGCAAAAGAGATGCGTTGAGTCCGGTCGGTGTGACGTAGTTTTTCGCTGTCACCTTTAAGGAGGATAGTAAGAGTGGCCTGGTTATCCTCAAGGAGTTGAACAGCAAACTTGGGGCTAAGATGTACCTTGAGGCCGTTCAAGTCGGCGACACTTCGTCCATCCGCCCTGCACTCACCGTAACGGATCTCATCGAGTTCGGGATCAATCCGTGCGATGATGTCACTCTCCCTTTTGTTGGTGTTGGTTCTCGGCCTAGCTTGATAGCTGGCGGTCCTGCCTGCAACCTCACGCCATAGGAAAATCCAAAGACTGAGGCTGGGCAGACCCTGAGCGCGAATACCTTGGTTTGCAGCCACAACCTCACTCTCAGTGCTCGAAGTGGTGATGCTTGTCTGTTTCTTGGAAAAGGCATTTAGGGGAAAGTAAGTGTTGGGGCCCACCAAGTAGAGGGCGCAACCTGATGTGGATTTGCTGTCATGACTGCCAGCGTGGTCAGCATCGCAGAACATCCACAACTTACAATCTTGAACGCGATCTCCAATGAAACCTCTCATCCGAACTTCAAGTGAAGAGTTTATGTAGCTGATCAACCGATGTAGAGCGACGTCGCAGTCGCGAGACCACTTGGTGACTCTGGACGCTAAGGCCTGAGTGGCACGTAACAGATCCCATCTAGCCATTCTCGCAGCAAACAAGACTTTCATGAGCACTCGGCTAGCAATCGATTGCAGCTTACCGGTAGGTTCGTTGCTTTCAAGGATCTTCGCAATCCGGTTTTCATGAAAGGGGGTTGCCACTTGCTTGAGGGACTTTTTGTCAACCTTGGCCAACTCGCAGTACCTATCAACGCATGACACCAAGAAATCTCGCATATCGTAATATACAACATTCACGGGCGTGGTCATGGATGGGATCTTCCCTTGACTGATCGATTCAGTGCTCTTGAACTTACTCTGACGAGCTTCTCGCTTGGCTTCGGCTTTTGACCTTTTAGGTTTATTACGCTTTGCTGCGAGAGCGTGAGAGAAGTCCTCGCCACTGACCTCAGCAATAGGGAAGTATGTTTTCCCTGTCCACCAACCTGATTGGTTTGCGGGGCCCCCCTGATTCAAGTCATCATGGATAGGGTCCCTACCATCATCAAACACCGTGATTCGTTGACAGCCTATGTGGGGAAATTTCAGCACATCATCCTGCGTGGGCACGTAAAGTTTCCTACGGGGATAGATGTGGTGTCTAACGACTGCAGCTAGCTCAGCGTCGACCTCCCAAAAATCCTCTTTGCGATTCGGCCGGACTTGATAGTCGGCAGCTGGGCTAGCGTACTTCTTGTCGAAGACGTAGGCAAACGGGTGGTCCTCCCGGGACAACTGAACCTGATTCTGCTCAACGTGATGGCAACCGAAGTACCGCCCCAAGACTTCGGCTGGTTCCATATCAATCACCTTAGCGATTAACTCCCAACCCTTGGTAATTTTGTCCTGAGGACCGGCCATCTTGAAGTCATCAACGTACACAACAAGCAGCAAATCTAATTCAGCATGATAGAAAACAGAATGCCAAATGTCTGGTAAAACGGCAGTAAATCCTATACTCTCCAGTTGCTCAGTACAGTACCGCTCCCAGATACCGCCTGAGTCAGGGTGCCCGTACAAAGCAAGCCGGAGGGGACAAACAGGATCCTCATACCCTGACCACTCTTTTGGCCATCTGTTTCGGGGAAGACGAACCCACGTTTCGATTCCTTTGAAAAGGGCTTGTGTGTATGCAGCAATACCATCAGCTTGCTGTTTCACGTACCCGGGCTGGCTGCCAAACACATCGATTATCTTTCCGGCCTCCATACTAGCGGGGCTTGATCCTAGCTCGGCAAAAATGGCGTGGTCGTGGTTTTCATCCTGAACATTGTTGCCTTGAAAAACACTACGACCCTTCCATTTCTTTTGGGGATGCCCATCCGGGAGCTCGTCCCCTTTGACCGAACAAATCTCAAAGATCTTCCCGAAATGGGCCTTGACATTCTTGTGCTTGGCTTCCGCCGCCACGTCACGGTATTCCCGAACTTGCTTCTCGAGCCAGCAAGACTTGTCAGCAAGTTTCTTCCACTCACGATCCATAGCTTCCTTTGCTGCGGGAGTACTCTCAATCTCTTTAGACCCGACAACCCTGGCAACCAAGGCAAACATCTCACCCGCAACCTGATCAAGCTTCTCCCAATATAAGGACGCCATGCGCTCTCTATGGGGCTCGGGGTCAGGTTCAGTGACGACAGGCATAGCCGGGGAGTCTCTGAGGGCCTTGCGAGCGTCTTCCTCAGCTTCACGGGCCTTTTTGCGTTCATACCTTTCAATGTCAGCCTCCCGTTGTGCCTTGGAATACATGTGCCAGAATTCCGAAGGGGTATCGGGCGGCCTCTTGGAACCTTTCTTATCCCTGACCAATCTAACCCCATCCCAGTTGTACCCTTTGGGGACTTTCCTCCCATCGGGCATGGTCTTAGGGTCATGTCTCGGTAAGGTGGAGGAGGCCTTGGGCTCAGTTGTTGCAGCCTTAGAAGATTTAGGAATGTCCCTCCCCAACCAGTCCTCCTCAGCCCCGACGTCTTCAGGAACGTAGTCCTCGTTTTCCTTAGCCACTTGGTCTAAGTACTCGGACAGACGCTCCTTCAAATCGGAGTCGTCCAGATTAGGCGCGTCGGGCGATGACGAAGACCCGCCCGGCGTTTCCCCAGATGGGGCGCGTGGTTCAGTACCTTCCGTTCTGTCCCACGAACAGTCCTGATCTGAGAGGGCCGGCTTGCGGAGGCTCTCCTGCAGTGCAAGCTGCTCCGACCTCATTGGGAACGTAAAGTCCCCAGGCAACAACTCCATCCGCTTGGACCTCAGCATGGGGAAGTTCCCAATCTCGAACGCAAAATCGCAGCCCATGACAGGAGTGACAAGATATTCCTCCTTCCAAATGAAGCCAGGCTGAATGTGATATCCAAGAAAGATTCCCTCAACACCAGTCGGCGCAAACTTAGACATGACTCATACCGGCGATGACTGACTCCCAATTATGGAGAAACGTAGTCAAATCGTCACTATGCAGCGTGACCTTCAAAAGGTCTTCTACTGAATAGAGCGACCCTACTTCTTCATTGGTTTTGAAGTACTGATCAAACATAAGCAATACCTGGCGTCCTCGTACCGCACGTCCGTGGACCGCCTCAGTTTCCTTGAAGGTGAGCACCTGTCGAGATAACTCTCCCTTGGCGACCTTGGTAAGCGCGGCTAGGATTTTGGTATCCAGCGTGAGGAACTTTCCTGGTTCACGGAGCTTGTCATGATCAGCATCCTTTGCGTAAACCTCTAAAATCCAAGAGAAAGCTTCATCTGGTCTGTCTGAGGCTGCCCTAACGGCTTCCCGAGTTGCTGTTTTCCACGCACGATACGTTTCGGGGTTGGGGAAGTCCGGCAAACGAATGTTCTCAGCCTCTTTGACCTTTGGTTTGTCATCTTCGCCGCTTTTGTCTCCCTTGAGGAGTTTGGCGGCTTCCAGCAACGCTTGTTGCGTCTGTGCGATTAAATCAACTCCAGTGGCTGCCGGACTAGCCGGCGTGCCCATTGGGGCCGCGAGACCAGACACTCCTCCACCTAAGCCAGTCGGGGGCACAGGGGTTGGGTCACGGCCGGAGGGAACTGAGCTTGGGACGCAGTGTCCTGAGAAGCATTCCTGTCCTGCTCGAGTTTGAGCGCACGCTCAGCTGAGGAGAGTTCGTCCTGAAGAACATCATTTTGACGCCTCATTTCCTCTTCACTCTCGCGGGCAAGTAACCTATACTGCTGCATTGCTTGATCATGTTCCCTACCAAACCACTCTCCCACCTCATTGAGGGTTTGTGTTTTGTTCTCCTCTGCTTCTTCGATTAAAGTTGTTCGAAGTTGCGTGATCTGCGAACTAACGCTGGAAAAATGTTCCGTTTGGAAAGCGATGACTTGGTGTTGTTGTCGCAGCTTTGACACGAGATGACGATTGGCTTCGATAAACTGATATCGTTGTGTGGCAATCTCGGATTCGAGCTGTGCAACGATCTCCTCATGCTGTCGATTTGCTCGTTCTTCAACATTAGCGATTCCTTGATCATGAGCGTATTCGGCAGCCTGGCGGAACCTCTGGTGCCTGTTTTCTGCTTCAGTTTCAAGTTCACCAAGAAGCGATCTGGTTTGTTCCGGAGATTCACCGACCATGATGTTTTGCTGGAAATTCTGTCGATACATATGCAACTGTGGTGCGAACGGTACGGCCGCAAAAGGAGTTCGGGCGTTTGGCTCAAACACATTAGTGCCTGCTGCGCCCTCTTCCAGAGCACCGTTCGGAACAACTTGCTCAGGAGCAGTCTGAGGTAGTCCCACAGGAAGCATGTCGTCAGATTCCAGATCGGTTGCCACTTCGGTGGGAATCAGCTCGGGGCTATCTCCCATACACCAGTGTTTGCCAGAGTAACCAGAGGCGCCGCAGACTCAGTAGAGCCTACGGCTGATAACCTATAGTTTGGGAAATCCACCAATGCAATCCGTTAAGCCATGAAACACAGGCGCACTTCTACCTTTTTGTCTCAGAGGGCTTGAGTGCGATAGATGCAACATACATGAAGGCAAAAGTGGCAAGGAGGTTCGAGTATAAAATACAAACCTGTACCTTGGCATCTATGGAACCTTGCTGGGGGAGGGGGGGGGAGGGGGTTTTCTACTATACTCCCCTTAGAACCTCAATAAAAATAATATGCTTAATACCCTCTTGGGTTTCACATAAACAAAAATAAGCAATAATTCCCAAGGGGGTTTTCGAGTTCTTCGATCATCCCAGGCGTTCTGGGCGCGCCTGCGAGGTCCTCATAGTTCGACATCTTGCCCTTGCGCGCGCCGGTGCCTCGGCTTAGGGTTCAGGGTTTAGTTTAGGGTTTAGGGTTCAGGGTTCAGTCAGGGTTCAGGGTTTAGGGTTCAGGGTTCAGGGTTTAGAGTTTAGGGTCTTGGTTTTAGGGTTCAGGGTTCAGGGTTTAGGGTGTAGGGTTTAGCAAGAGCTTTGCTGAGGCATAGACATCAAGTCCTAACACCCAAACATCCGAGCACTCCGACTTCCAGGGCCAGAAATTCAGCTGTCCCTGTACCTGATCCGGAAAATACAAGTCATCACTCGTCTTCTCTTCTCAACCTGCGATCACACCACATTGTACTTCGTCGTGCCAGCTATAAGCCCTCAACCCCAAACCCTAAACCCTAAACCCCAAACCCTAAACCCTAAACCCTAAACCCTAAGGCCCTTCAACTCTGAACCCCGAAGACCCTGAACCCCAGAGGCCCTAAACCCTGCAGGCCCTCAATCCTAAAATGCCCTAAACCCTCTAAATCCTAAAGGCCCTAAACCCGAAAGGCCCAAAACCCTAAAGGCTCTAAAACCCTGAAGGGTCTAAATTCCAAAGGCCTTAAACCCTCAAGCCGCAGCTTGCAGCTCTGAGCCTCAGAGCCTGAGAAGCCTCGACCCTTGAAGGCTCCCACAGGGTTTAGGGTTTAGGGTTTAGGGTTTAGGGTTTAGGGTTTAGGGTTTAGGGTTTAGGGTTTGGGGTTTAGGGTTTAGGGTTTAGGGTTTAGGGTTTAGGGTATGAGCCCGCAAAGCACTAGAACGCTCGGAACCCCAAAGCCGAACCCCGAAGCCGTACAAAAGTATTTCCAGCAACCGGTGCGGCGACTCCCAGCACCCACTGTGCCAGTGACGCTCTTCTCCCCCTTCCCTCCCTCCTAAAACCTAAACCCGACACCCTACACCCAAAACCCCAAACCCCAAACTAAACCCTAAACCCTAAACTCCCCTAAACCTAAACCCTCCCCTCCTCAACCCCAAACCAGGGTTTAGGGTGTAGGGTGTGTCGACACCAACAAAGCACCATCTGAATCCCCTTGAGTTTGGCCCCCCAAACCCCAAACCCCAAACCCCAAACCCCAAACCCTCAACCCTAAACCCCAAACCCCAAACCCTAAGCCCCAAACCCTAAACCCTAAACCCTAAACCCGAAACCCTAAACCCTAAACCCTAAACCCTAAACCCTAAACCCTAAACCCTAAAACCATAAGCAAGTCATGGCGGAGATGCAGATCTCCGCCATGTCGCATGCTGCGAGCATCAGGCGCCCAGTCTCCTTGGGGTATCCAAAGAAAAAAAGGGCCGCAAGACATTTAGGGTTTAGGGTTTAGGGTTTCGGGTTTCGGGTTTACTTGAACGGCCACATAAGAAGCTTCTATGGGCTTAGGGGCTGAGGGTTGAGTGTTTCGGGTTTTGGGGGGTTTGTGGAGTGCAGGGCTGGCATTCTGGGCGGCTAAGCCGTATCTTAGTAGCCCAGTAACCACATTATAATAAGGGCACCCTTTCTCTGGTTGGTTACTTTATAGGGGAACCCACAACCAAACAAGAAAGGTAAAGGGTACCACTGGGCTACCAAGGTATGCAAGGGAAGTTACCATCTGACAGTGTGTTGGAATCTGTGGTAAGGGGTTTAAGGGTTTGGGGTCTAAGGGTGTAGTGTTCAGGGTTTAAGGTGAGCCTTTTAAAGTTTCACATCAGGGGCTTTCAGTGTTCAAAGTCCCGGGACACAGAGTCGTGCAGCAGCATGCAGCAAACACGGCACAGCGCACTTCACAGGTCTCAACAGGCCCATACACAGCATACCTGTAAATACACGCCTCCCTCTGGATCCAATGTTAAGATGAGCCCTAAGCCCGAAGCCCTAAGCCCTGGATCCTTCTGATCTTCCCAAGCTTCGAAGCAAACAAAGGCACTGAGCGAGATGAGGAAGAGGGCCAGCCCAACGCCATTGTCGGCCATGACCTCCGGCCCATAGAGCTAAGGTCTTCGGAGGTTTCGGAGGTTTCGGAGCTTTCTAGGGAGGACACAGGGTAAGGGTAACCTTCGGATTTTGGAGGGGGGGGTGGAGGCTTAGACTCTCCTCTCCGAGTCCATCACGGACTTCGATGCAGGGCTTTCGGAGGAATGCCCCAAACTCTCTCGAAGGGAGCTAAGCAAGAGATACAAACAATTGACGGCTTCTTAGTAGGGAACGAGGGAATGGGGTAGCCGGGTAGCCTATACAATCCCTTGAAGGTCTTGAAGGTATATTTAGAGTCTACTTCCCTCATTCCGTACTAGAACCAGCCGGATACGGTTGTAAGTCGGACAGCCCAACTGCTTCGAACCCGACTTGTGACTTAGCAACTTACGCACGAAGTTTTTTTTCAGCCTGCAAGTACCTGGGGCCCTGTTTACCTGCATTTTCAAGGGCCATGCCTACTAAATAGGGGGACTTGCTACTAAACTGTAGGCAAATAAATAGAGTATCAGGTAGACTCCAAGACGTTGCCAATCTGCCGTCGGGGCACTCTGGGAAATACTACGATACCTGCGCCAATGCAGCCAATCACAAAGTTCGCGATGGCCTCGCGTCTGTGGGACATGAGGTTGGAGCGTTTAGGGTTTAGGGATTACGATATCAGGTTCAGGGTTCAGGGTGTTCGGTTGCTTCCAAGCATGTGGGAGTCTCATCTTGGGGGGACTTCGGAGCAGACATCGCGGACAGCCCGAAAGCAGCCATGAACTCACAAACTGGGAAAGCACGCAGGGAGGATTGTTCTAGATTCCAAACAGGTTCAGAAAGGATTTAGTGGGGACTGACTTGCCTACAGCCACCCATCCTGAAAAAATTGAATTGACAACCTCTACAGGGTAGAGGGTCTACAAGGTTTAGGGTTTGGGGATAAACTCTAAACCCTAAATCCAAAACCCCATCTCCAGAACCCTAAAAGGCACGCTGAGTCCCGCGCCCCCACCGCCCCCACCGGAAAACCCTAAACCCTAAACCGCCTAAACCCTAAACCGCCTAAACCCTAAACCCGAAACCCCAAACCCCCTCTCCTCGAACAAAAGCTGGCCGCCTCGAAGCTGGTGATCGTGGGCACTTCCGCCTCGGAGTTACTTGACGGGTTCGCGAAAATAAGGGTTTAGGGTTTAGGGTTTAGGGTTTAGGTTTTTTTTTGAACCGGAATCGCTAATGCGCAGCAATATTGCTGTCCACCCTCCTTTGCTGTCTTCCTCCACGCTCAGAACATTCGGCACTTTTCCTGCCCCATCCCATACATGTAGTCGACCATCTCCATCTCCATTGGTTTAGGGTTTAGGGTTTGGGGTTTGGGGTTTAGGGTCAGGGATCCCTAGCCGCTAGCAACAAACGCCACATAGCAGTAGAAACCCCCCAAATAGCGGGATTCCCTTCTAAAGGGGGGGGCCCAATAAAGTACCCCGAACTTGGGAAGGTTCCTGATGATCATGGGAGCTAAATAGAAATGACTAGTCCCTAAACCCTCCAAGAACGTGTAGAATCCCTTGACAAGGCTTGGCGGCAGGGAAACTCTTGACCCTAACCCTGGAAACCCCTAGAAACCCTAGAGACCCTAGAAACTCTAGAAACCCCGGTCGCCCTGAAAGCCAGTAAAAACCCCAACAATCCCTAACAAACCCACTTAAACAAAAACAAAAAACGAAGACCCTCTGTTCTCACAGCAGTCGAGGAGCTTCGCCAAACTCTTCTGCCTCCGCTTTGAGCGCCTGTGCGAAGGTGTCGTCACGAACCTTTGGAGGAGAGCAGCAAACTACAATACAATTGTCGGGGGATTCAAAAAGTGTTTGGACACCGGAGCTTTAGCGACCTTGTAGGCTTCTTTAGCGCTTTCAGGGTTTCGGGGCTTGCCCCAAAAAAGGGAACATCGGCCTACTCTGGGTCCTAGGATTCTTAGTTCCTGGCCGACTTGAGCACGGGATATAGAGTGGTTGCCAAAGTTAGGGACCTAAACCCTAAACCCTAAACCCTAAACCCTAAACCCGAAACCCTAAACCCTAAACCCTAAACCCTAAACCCTAAACCCCTAAACCTACCATTTGGGGGTCCCCCTATTTTCGTCACCCCTCCAGAGGATCCCAAGGAACGGCCATGGAGGCCGTGACCGAGGCCCGGTGGAGGGACCTTCGGGCGCCACAAGCACTCGGGTGCTTTGGAGGGTTTAGGGTTTAGGGTTTAGGGTTTAGGGTTTAGGGTCAGGGTTTAGGGTCAGGGTTTAGGGTTTAGGGTTTAGGGTCAGGGTTTAGGGTTTGGGGTTTGGGGTTTAGGGTTTAGGGTTTAGGGTTTAGGGCTTTTGGACTCGGGTGGTTGGGGGCTTCGGGCTGTAGGGTTGAATGCGTCGTCTAGCTGAGTCACACATGTGGGCTTTCCCCTTCCGTCCCTTCCGTTGCCCCGAATGTGCTTTAATCCTTCGTGTAGGAGCCCTAAACCCTAGACCCTAAACCCCATATGCCCTAAACCCTGAACCCCCCCCAAAAAAAAACAATCCTAATGTTCAGCCTTCAAAAGCTGAAAGATCGCTAGATCAGAGCTGTCTCTGCAAGTGCATCCAGCCCTCAGCATGAAGCGGGTCTCCCATCAACCCTATAAATTGGGATGTTCCCCCTTATGCTAACAATCCTGAATGTACCCTAAACCTAAGCCCTGAAGAAGGGGGAATAAAGGCCTACTCTAAGCCCTAGCTTTGCTCTAAACCCTACACCCGAAACCTACAGTTGCCGCAGCCGCCATCCACGGCTGCATTTCGAGACGAGGGGATTGAGGCACCACTGGGCATCTTGGCGTTTAAAACCTAAAACCGAAACCCCAAGCCCCAAACCCTGAACCCTGCACCCTACACCTTACACCCTAAAGCCTAAACCCTAAACCCTAAACTCTAAACCCTAAACCCTAAAACCAAAACCCCCTAACCACGAACTCCACACATTAAACCCGAAACCCTGCGGGATGCCCGAGCCCTCCCCCCCCCCCCCACGCCAATCTGAGGGTAATTGCATGATCCCTTAATACGCTCCCTTACGATTCTTCAAAGGTTCCTGACGTGTTTGCGATAAGGAGTCTAAAGTTTTCATTCAGGGTTCCAAAATTAGGGGCCTATAGTAAGGGCCCATGTAACTTCCCCCGAGACGAAAGGGGATTCCCGCAACTCCAAAACCGGAACTCTGTACATCCGGGTCCAAACAATCCGCAACCAGAAGCTCCGTAAGTAGGGTCGTGGGCTTCTAGGGCTTATAGGGTTTAAAGGTTTTAGGGAGGTATAATGAACCCCTATGCCCACAAAAAGCCAAGACGCCCTAAGCCCGAACAAGCCGAAAAACCCGGACAAGCCCGCCTCATTCTGTTGGAGGCATTGAAGATGGACCTGCTCCGTTCCAGAACCCCACCCCAGAGCCATCGGAGTAATTGGATGTACCCTTCGACCATAAGAAAAACCTATCTGCGTGATCGCTATAGCTTTTTCCGTGCACTTCCAGGTATGCATGCTCCTTTAGCCACAAGACGAAGAAGTCACCAACCTTCAGCCCACACAGGGAGCCCTCCACTTCTAAAACCCTAAGAATTCGACAGCCCGAGAATTCTACAGCCCGAGCGTGCGCCGCGCGGCAAAAGTCGCAACAATCTCTTTGTTGATGCGCGCGCCTCAAACAGAGCCTTCTCAAGAGGAAAGGACATGCGACTGTGGACCAGGAGGTGCCTTCTGAGGCGAACGTTTCGACTCAAAAGAAGCACCTTAATGAGGGCTTAGGGGTTTAGGGCTTAGGTTTAGGGGCTTAGGTCTCCCTAGTAACCTGACTTGCGCTTCACTCTGATCCGTTTCAGTTCGGGCGGAACTGTGGCGGCGTGGCATGCTTTGAGCTTCATCACGACTTCGGACAAGTAGAATTCGAACCATCCCGCCGGGCGTTGGCACGTGGACTGAGCGTTACATTAGCTAGGCTTTAGGGTATGGTTTAAGGGTTTAAGGGCTTAAGGTTTAGAATATAGGTTGTAGAGCTTAAGGTTCACAAACTTACAGGTGAATCCTGCAGCCTCAGTTGGGCGGACCCAGCTCAAACCAAGAAGCACAAACCGACATGGCTTGTGGTCTTAGGGGCGAGGGCTCAGGTCGTTGTAAAGCCGAGCAGCAGGTATTAAAGTAGTCCGGCTCGGATTCTACAACTTTCAGGGTTCTGTGTTTGCTGACTCTAAACCCTAAACCCATTGGGTTTTCCGGACCCTGCCCATAAACACAACCACAAACCCCAAGCCCTAAACCCTAAACCCCAAACCCTACACCCTAAACCCTAAACCCTAAACCCCAAACCCTAAACCCTAAACCCTAAACCCTAAACCCCAAACCGCCGCTATAGGAGGATGTCGGCCTGCAATGGCTTGAGATTCCGAGGCTTTCGCGGCTTCGGTGCGAGGCTTTCGGGCTCTCTCTGATTCATGCTTGGGATAGTACTCCAATTTTAGATTTACGGTCTAGGGTTTAGGGTTTAGGGTTTAGGGTTCCTTATTGGGTTTAAGCTCCCTAAAAAAGTAAATTTGTTGCCCAACTACCCAACTACGACACAAGCTCTGGGCTCTGAGGACCCTTCAAGGCTTGTTGAGCCTTCAGCGTTTAGGGGTTTTAGGGTCTTAGGGGTTTTAGGGGTTTAAGGGGTTTAAGGGGTTTTAGCGTTCAGGGGATTTAGGGATGTAAGGGGTTTTGGGGTTTAGGGGTTTTGGGTTTTAAGGGCTTTAGCGTTCAGGGATTTAGGGGTTTAGGGTTTAGTGCTTCCGGGCTTGGGTCTTACTCTCGGGTCTGGGTTGAGGGCGATGTTCGTGTGTTGAGTGTGGATTGTGAGCTTCCAAGTCTGTGGCGGCAGTTCATGCAAACCCGAAACCATGAACGCTGAAACCTTAAACTCCGTCCACTCCACACTTTTGGGCTTATGGTTAGGGTTTAGGGTTTAGGGTTTAGGGTTTAGGGTTTAGGGTTTAGGGTGTAGGGTGTAGGGTTTAGGGTGTAGGGTTTAGGGTTTAGGGTTTAGGGTTTAGGGTTTAGGGTTTAGGGTTTAGGGTTTAGGGTTTAGGGTTTAGGGTTTAGGGTTTAGGGGTCTACTTGCACCCCTTGGGTACTTACTATCCCAACTATGACTTATAACCAAGTGTTGGCCGTATTAGGGGGGACACCCGAGGTGCTTATGAGTAGGCTATGACTACACTTATAGCTGGGTGAACCATGAACCTCCTAAACCCTGGACCCGAAACCCTAGACGCAATAGTAAGTACTCCGAACCTCCAAGTAGAGTTGAAGCCACCGAACCCTAAACTACATTTTGCTTAAGACCCCCCCAAAAAAAATCAATATTATTTAGTATAAGGGCAATATAGGGATTATTCAGTTTTTTGGGGTTCTTAAGCAAATAGTAGTAACAGTCCCGAAGTCGAGCTCTGTGTTCGTATGAACCCCTCATAGGGCTTAGGGAAAGGGCCTTCAGGGCTGGGGGTTGAAGAACCCCAAGCCCTAAGCTCATGCTAAACCCTAAACCCCAAACCCCAAACCCTAAAGCCCAAACCCTAAACCCTAAACCCTAAACCCTAAACCCTAAACCCGAAACCCTAAACCCTAAACCATTTTGGGGGAGGTTTGAGCTACAAACCCCTGCAGTCCCTGAAGCCATCTCAGCGCGAGAAGCTTCCGCGGCGCCGGCTGCGGAGGCGGCTCCACCTCGAGGGGTTTGGGGTTTGGGGTTTAGGGTTTAGGGTTTGGGGTAGAGGGTTTAGAGGGTTTAGAGGGTTTAGAGGGTTTAGAGGGTTTAGAGGGTTTAGAGGGTTTAGAGGGTTTAGAGGGTTTAGGAGGGTTTAGAGGGTTTAGAGGGTTTAGAGGGTTTTGAGGGTTTAGAGGGTTTAGAGAGTTTAGGAGGGTTTAAAGGGTTTTTGGGGTTTAGAGGGTTTAGAGAGTTTGGGAGGGTTTAGGAGGGTTTAGAGGGTTTAGAGAGTTTAGAGGGTTTAGAGGGTTTACAGGGTTTTGAGGGTTTAGAGGGCTTTGAGGGTTTAGAGAGTTTAGAGAGTTTAGAGGGTTCAGAGGGTTTAGGCGCTTTCAGGGGCTTTTAGGGGCTTCCAGGGGCGTTTGGCGCTGTTTATTCTGGGGTGGACCTGGGATTGCCAGTGGGTATAAGAATGGGGTTGTGCAGAACTGGGTGTTTTATTCCAAGTCTGACATCAGGTTCAGGGTTCGGTGTTTAGGGTTGAGATGTTCCCCCTTATACTATCAGTCCTTCCTAGGGACTATGGTACCCATAATCCCGATTAAAGACTGTTAGTATAAGGGGGAACATCCCAACTAACCCTTAACCCTTATATAACCCCAACCCCAAACCCCAAACCCTGGACACTCAATAGTAGTTCAGGAGTCAGGGCTTAGGGTTTAGGAGGGGACTTGGGCTTAGAGGAGGTTTGGGGGGGGGGGGGGTTGTGAGGCTTTCGAGCCGTGGCTTCGCTTTTCGTGAGGTTTTCGGGGGATTTTAGCCCAGGGTGTTCTCTACTTTCAACTCAGAAGCACCCTAAACCGTTTGCACCCCACAAGCCGCAGCAGCAAAGGAAGGGCGATTCCCTAAACCCTAAACCCTAGAACCTAAACCCTAGAACCTAAACCCTGAACCCTAAACCCTAGAACCTAAACCCTAAACCCTAAACCCTGAATCCTAAACCCTAAACCCTAAACCCTAAACCCTAAACCCTAAACCCTAAACCCTAAACCCTAAACCCTAAACCCTAAACCGAGAGCCCCCGGGGTTGAGGGTTCCAAGGTTCGAGGCGCCTCGAAACTCGCGGGCATGGTGGCCACCCGCTCTTCGGGCAGGGAGGCGGCTTTTGGGGGAGAGGTGGGCTGCGGGCAGGCAACGGGAGTTCAGGGGGTTTCGGGTTTAGGGTTTAGGGTTTAGGGTTTGGGGTTTAGGGTTTGGGGCTCAGAGAAGACTTTTGGAGATTTTCTGGGAATCTTGAAGTGTTTGGGCTTTTCAGGCTGTAGGGGTTTAGGTCTTACACCCTTGCTTGACCATCAGAAACTAGGTGACACAGCGTTGTGTTCAGGATTTAGGGTGTAGGGTTTACGGATTCGGCTCATGTGAGCAGCCTGCTTTAGCGAAACCACTTACAAGGGAGCCTAAACCCCACAAAAACATGAATAAGGGCCTAATGTAGGCCCCTTCAGCACTAGACAACAGCTTTATATATGATTTTTGTGTGGGGGGGGGATTCTGGTACAATTACATAGGGATCATAAGGAATACTCTGAGTAGTTTTCCCGACCCCTTTATTATTCCAGGTCCGAGTATAAAGAGTAAGAAGGAACCCTGGCGCCCCAAGAGCGCACCACGAGGAATCCTAGACGCGTTCAGTTACTGATGCTCCAGAAAGCAAAGACAAACCCTAAACCCTAAACCCGAAACCCGAAACCCTAACCCTAAATCCGAAACCCTAAACCCTTTAAACCGCCCCTAAACTGCGGACCCTATACCGCTGACCTCGAGACCATGGCCTCGAACCCTAAACCCGAAGCCCTTTGGTGATGGATGGGCTTCTACGCGGAGGCCGGAGACTGCCGTGGTTTGGGCGGTCCATCTCATCCCAGTGGCTTTCCTACTCATTCGTGCGAGATGAGATCAATATGAGACATACTGTCAGACTCTTAGAAGTGGGAACATTCTGAAGTCCACTAAAACCTCAAAGCCGAAAGCCCTTGCAAACCCTCAATCCTGTAAACCCCCAACCCCTCCTCTCCCTCCCCTCCCTCCCACACACACATGCGCGCGCACACGCACAGGCGGCAAACAGGCCGATTTTCCACGCTTTGCTAGGGCCATTCCGTACCGAAGTCCCGGTGGATGAAGCAGAGAAGCAGGCAAGAGACTTGGTGGTGAATTTTCGCAGGGCTCTTAGGGCAGGTTTAGGCTCTCTTGCGGGTGTCAGGCTTTCTGGCTTCTTTGAGGTTCCTGTTGCTTTGGTTCGGTCCTCTTTGCTTTGGGGCCTTGGGGTCTGTTGGGTTTCGGGTTTGGGGGGTCGGGAGGGGGGGGGCATTTTTGCGGTTGGGTTTGAGCGCTTGGGATTTTGCTTGTTGCTTTTTGAGTTTTCCGACGGGTTTCGGGGCCCTGGGGGGTTGCTTCTTGTGGGGCTGCCGGTGGTTGGTCGGTTCTGGGGGGGAAACGTCGGAGATCGAGCCGCGTTTAAAAACTTCTTCAAAGCTAAAAGCCCTAAACCCTAAACTCTAAACCCTAGACACTAGACCCTAGACCCTAGACCCTAGACCCTAGACCCTAGACCCTAAACCCTAGACCCTAGACCCTAAACCCTAAAACCTAAACCCAACGAAGAGGGCTTCGAGGGTTTTGGGTCGCACTCTCTCGCTCTCTTCCTCTGCCTGCCACCCCCTATTACTACCCTACACCCTAAACCCTACTTTGGAGTAGATTGAGTAGACCCTGGAAAAAAGGTATACGCTTTTTAGGTATAAGTAGCTATAATAGGAACCCAGAACCAACAAGAAGTATTGAAGTATAGTACTCCAAAGCCCAGTCAAGCCGATCCACGTCGGGCTAGGCTAAAGTTTGAGGACTGAGTCTGGGACTGTATCCCCCAACATACAAAAGGCAAGGCCACAGAAGGGCCCATGGGCTTCTGGTTTAGGGTTTAGGAATTAGGGTTTAGGGCTAGCCACCCTAAACCCTAAACCCTAAACCCTAAACCCTAAAATCCTGGAAAAGGATGCCGCGAAAGAGGCAGCCGCAGTACTTCCAGGGCCGGTCCACGTGGAAGAGCCGCAGGCCTGCGTCCTCAGAAGCTGGGCTTAGGGTTTAGGGTTTAGGCGGTTTAGGGCTTAGGGTTTAGGGTTTAGGGTTAAGGGAATAGGGCTTGGGGTTTAGGGTTTAGGGCTTAGGATGTAGGGCTTAGGGTTTAGGGTTTAGAGTTCGTTGGGCAGGGCCCCATGGGGTTTGCACGGGCAACAAGGGCCTGTGTTCTCAGAGAAAGGAATTTGCTCTTGGGTGTTTCCGAGGGTGACTTGATGGACTTTAGTTGGGGTTTGGGGTTTGGGCTTGAGGTAGGGGATTGGGGACGATTTGTCGAGTGATCCCTTTACCCTCAAACCCCAACAGCCCAAAACCCCAAAACCCCAGCACCCTCAAACCCTCGAACCCTAGAATCCTAACCCCGAAACCCTTACAACTTTCCAAAGCCTTAAACCCTGAACCCTAGTCCAATACCCAGATAAAACATGCAACATAGCCTTTATCCGCAGTTGATTGGGGACGTGGGAGTTGTATCTGGTCTCAATGTAGATTCCGAATCCTTCCCGAATCCAACTCTGGCAACTTAGAACGGCTTGCGATGCAAGACCTCTCCTACACCCCAAGCCCGAATTAAGCCCTAAACCCTAAACCCTGAACCCTGAACCCTAAACCGCAGATCCTGCACCCCGAATACCGTCAGTCTGGTTCGGATTCCCCAGCCTCCTTCCTGGACCCCTAAACTCTAAGCCACCCCTTTCAACAAAGGCAAACCCAAAAAACCTTCACCCCCAAACCCAAGTAAGACCACATCCTTTGAAGAACAACAAAAGGAGAGGTCTTCATGAAACCGGTAATTATTCCTAAACCATAAACCTCAGAAACCCCTGAACCTCCCGAAACTCCCGAAACCCTCAAACTCTTCCAAACCCCCGCTCCTAACCTAACCCCCCCCCCCCCCCCCCCCCCCCCCCCCCCCCCCCTAAACTCCCTAAACCCCCTGAACCCCCTAAACCCCTAAACCCCCCTAAACCCCTACCCCCTAACCCCCTAAACCCCCTAAACCCCCCCTAAACCCCCTAAACCCTAAACCCTAAACCCTAAACCCTAAACCCTAAACCCTAAACCCTAAACCCTAACTTTAAGGGCTGTTGATAGGTATCCCTTCGGCCTCGGCCGCACGCACCAGCCGACGGAGGTCCACCAGGTCGTAGGCAAATCGTGGCTGCAGGTGCACCTGGGCGTTGCAAAACGGGGGTTTAGGATTTTCAGGGTTTAGGGTTTAGGGTTTAGGGTTTAGGGTTTAGGGTTTAGGGTTTAGGGTTTAGGGTTTACGAGAAGAGTTTTGATGAGTTGGTTTGGTGCTACAGGTTGTAGATAGGATTCTTTACGCGTTTTAGAGTTTGATGAGTTGTAGGAGGGCTCTCCAGGATGTAGATAGGGCCTCAGGGCTTAGAGGGTTTCGGGTTTTCGGCATTTTTAAGGGCGATTTAAGGAATGCGTCCTCATAGTAGTGGATCCTAAACTGACTTTCAGGAATGCCCTCTCTGAAGTTCGAGAGAATCGGTCCCTAAACCCTAAACCCTAAACCCTTAAAACCTTAAACCCTAAACCCTAAACGAAGGGCCATTGGTTTACGGCCAGGCTTGGGGCTTTGTGGGTTGCAGGTTCACCTGATGGGGCTCCGAATTGAAAATCAGGAATACCCGTGAATTGAGGGGGCCAAAAGACTGGGTAAACAGTTGAAGCACCCCAAACCCTCAATCCCTCAAGCCTTCAACCCTAAACCTTCCATCCTCAATCCCCTATACAACTTGTACAGGGGTCTACAAGGGGTCTCCGTTTAAGGGCCCATATTAAGGGACCATGTAACTACCCTTGGATCCCCCAAACATACGGGGTTGGGGAGGGGGGGAGGTTGGTCAAAGGGCCCCCCTTTCGGGGGGCCACGGGTGACTCTTCAGTCCCTGCCAATCCATCTGTCGATCTATCTCTCTACTTTCATCTTGACAATATAGCTGTGCTTAGGGCTCAGGGTTGAAGACTTTACTTGTTGTCTTCGGGTACAGGGCGTAGGGCCGTAGGGCTTGGGAGCTTGGGGTAACGCGAAACCCTACAGCAGCCCCCTTGTACTAACAGTGCGGGGAACATCCCAACTGTAGACTTTTCAGGGCTCTGGGTGTGTGGAAGGTCTACTGGAGCGGACCTCCATGACAAGCTGCCCCACGCGTGGCCAGGCCTGCTAAGACGCCCTACTACCAGGCCTTTCAAGGTTAGGCTAGTGAGGGTTTAGGACTTCAGGGGCTCTCTAGGTTAACTTCATAGGGTGTTAAGGAGGGTTACTTGAGATGGGTCAAACCACCACGTACCAAGATTCCTTGAGCTTTTCAAAGAGACAGTTTTGGGGGCTTCAGGGGCATAGGGTCCCCCAAGCAGCAATTTCGGTTTAGAGTTTAGGGGCTTAAGGTGGGTCTAGATTTTGGGTGTTGGGCATAGCATAGCCTACGAAGTCCCTACGACGACGGAATGTAGTGAGCCTGGCCAACGAGCGCGTGCTCCCCACCCTCGATATCGACCTGCCAAGGAAAATGGCTTGCTCTGACCAGGGTCTATAAGGTTACGTTAGGAGTTACCCAAAACCCGAAGCCCGAAACCCTGAACCCCAAAACCTAAACCCTAATCCCTAATCCCTGGCCAGGGTCTAGGGTTTAGGTGGTGTGGGATGTGCGTGCAGGGTTTCGCGATGGAAGAGATGTGAAACTCTAGCGCCAACTCCTAAACCAGCTCTTTGTATCTACCACCCCCTCCCTCTTGCAACCTCCCCTAAACCCTAAACCCTAAACTCTAAACTCTAAGCCCTGAACCCTTAAACCCTGAACCCAGGTTCTGCTTCTAACTGTTCTACTCCAGTTTCCCACGCCAGGTTGCAGTCCCTAAGCCCTTAAGCCCACATCGCCCTACTTGTCAACCCTAACCCTACCTGAGCCCCTACCCCGAAACCCAAAACCCTAAAACCCTAAAACCCTAAAACCCTAAAACCCTAAAACCCTAAAACCCTAAAACCCTAAAACCCTAAAACCCTAAAACCCTAAAACCCTAAAACCCTAAAACCCTAAAACCCTAAAACCCTAAAACCCTAAAACCCTAAAACCCTAAAACCCTAAAACCCTAAAACCCTAAAACCCTAAAACCCTAAAACCCTAAAACCCTAAAACCCTAAAACCCTAAACCCTAAAACCCAAAACCCTAAAACCCCAAACCCTAAAACCCTAAATCCTACAACCTAACCTACCTATACCGGCCTTGACCCTAAACCCTAAAACCCTAAAACCCTAAATCCTCCTACTTAAACCTACCTATACCGGCCTTCAGGATGTCGATCTGCTCATCCCCCAGCTCGCGCAGCAGCGATCGCAGTGTGCGGGTGGGCGTCGGTGTGGGCGCCGACTGCGCCTGGAAAATCGGGTCTAGGGTCTAGGGTTTAGGGTTTAGGGTTTAGGGTTTAGGATTTAGGGTTTAGGGTTTAAGTTTAGGTGCGGCGTAAGCTTGAGGGCTTAGGCTCTGAGCTCACCCTACAGGTGGGTAGGGTCTCTACCTGAAGAGGGATGGGAGCAGGGCAGTGGGCATGCTGCAAAACGACCTATCGCAGGCCCCATTGGGCCACCGAAAAGTTGTGCCATGGGTCGGTGTTTTTGTTGCCCCGAAGCATTTCAAGAAAAGTTCTTGGGGGTTTAGTAGACCCCAAGAGTAACCCTAAACCCTGAACGCCGTTTTGGTCTACAGGGCCTTACAAGGGAACCTACACGGGAATAAGGGCCTACTCTCGGTCCTGGTCGAGGCTGGATCCATGTTCTGCTGCTTGGGATTAGCCCTCAGCGCAGTCTTTTAAAGGGCGGAGGTTTAGGGTTTAGGGTTTAGGATTTGGGGTTTGGGGTTTAGGTTCTTCTTGCTCTCTTTTCTTGTGTCACTGTTGCAGGGTCCTTTTGAAGGGTCAGGGAACGCCGCAGGTGCCCTCATCTCCAACCTACTAAGTTCCGTGGGCCTTTAGTTAGGGAGTTGAAACATGATTTAACCCGAAACCCAAAACCTCCATAGACCGTGGGAAACTCAGGCCTTTAGCTATAGGGAGTTGGAAGATGACCCTTACCCCCGAAACCCTAACCCTCCATAGACCGTGGTGCAAGCAGCGCATGCTCCTGTACCCTCAATCCTGTATATCAGCATCAAGGACACCCTAGCCAGCCCTCCCAAATTCCCGAAAGCACAGCTCAGGATTTTTGAGGCTTTTGGAGGGTTTGGGAGGTTTCAGGTCTAGGAAATTCGTAGTTTGCACAGTAGGGTTTAGGACTAAGGGCTTTTTGCGGCTTCGGGTCAGGTTTAGGGCAACATCTAGCGACAGTCTGACTACCCAGGCCCCTTTGTGGCCCTCGAGAAGCCTGCCGTAAGCCCTGGACTTTGAATACGGTTTGTAGGCTTTACGGTCTAAGCTTTCGGGTTCGACTGTTGGGCTGCTATGACCCAGCTTCAAACCCTCAACCCTATCCCCAACGCCCTTCGGACGATGTGCCCACCACCGCAGCATCTCCACGCCGTCCGTGCGGCCCAAAGCCACCTTCGTTGAAACCAGGATTTCCTTCTAGGACTCCTGCTGTAGACAAGTAACAGAACCACTGAACAGATCGTCCTTCAACAGCCTACTATATGATAAGGGCACAGGTGAACCTTGAACCCTAAACCTTGAACCCCAAACCCCAAGCCCCAAACCCTAAACCCGAAACCCCAAATCCGAAACCCGAAACCCGAAACCCGAAGCCCTGCCGAGTTCCTCTGGCCCTTGGAGTAGGGCAGTCTGGGGGGAGGTCGGTATTTCAGCCGTTGGGCCGCCTATGTTACCAGGTTGTCCGGCAACCTAGGATTAAAAAGCGGTGCCCTATTTTGCTTGAAGGGGCTTTAGGGTTTAGGGTATTTAGGGGATGTAGGGTTTAGGGTTCAGGGGGTCATAAGGGAACCTAAACTCCCCCAAAAGGGGAATGGGGGTACTGCTGGGCATCCCAGTGTGTTATGAGGTCTGGGGCGTGGCTCTTGAACTACGAAGCGGCGGCGATACGCTCCGGTTTAGGGCCGTGGGTTTTGGGGCTTGGGGGTTTTCCGCGTTTTCAGTGTCGGGGATGTTCTAGACTTTGAGAATGTTCCAGCCGGGCCAGGACTTTGTCAAGCAATCCCTCACGGGAATTAAGTATCGTCCTACCTCCTTTATAAGGTCCCAACCCTAAACCCTAAATCCTAAGCCCTGTAAACCCCAAACCCTAAACCGCCCCAGGGTGCCTCGTGGGAGGGGCACTAGGGCAGCCAGCTCGACCAGAAACAAACAGCCCTCAGCCTGAAACTGGTAACCCTCAAGCCCTGAAAAGCCCTGAAAGCTTTGAATTTCCAACTGGAAATTCTAGAAGCCCCAAGATGCCTGAAAAAGCTCTGAACAGTTAAGACCCTGGAAACCCTCAACCCCAGAAGCCTAAGCCCTAAACCCCAGAAGCCCTTAAACCCGAAACTGATTCATGGTTGGGATAGTCTACGACAAAGAGAAGCCCTAAACCCTTAAACCCCTAAACCCCTAAAACCCTAAACCCCTAAAACCCTAAACCCTAAACCTCCTGGGATTCGGCAAGGCCGCCGGCATCACCGTGGGTGCCAAGGGATGCTGCGACTTCGCCGGTGCGGGGTCGAAGATTCGAACCTTCTCTTGCTTTCCTTTGGGGCCTGGGGCTTGGGGCTTGGGGTTTAGGGTTTGGGGTTTAGGGTTTAGGGCTTTTCTGGCTGGTTCTTAGTGGGGAATGAGGGAATGAGGTACGCTATGTAATCCCTTAAAGGGTATATATAGGGCCCGAATTCCCTGATTCCCTACTAAGAACCAGGGGACCTTTTCTTGATTTCGTTTGGGGCCTGGGGTTTGGGGTTTAGGGTTTAGGGTTTGGGGTTTAGGGTTTAGGGTTTAGGGTGTTTAGAACGTTTGTGGATATTTAGAGTTTTGGGTTTGGGGTTTTCGTGCTTTCGTTTGGAGTTGAGGGTTTGGGTTTAAGGGAACTTGGAAGTCGGGTCCCTGTACATGCTCGTCTAGTGAGTCTAGTGGGGTGTAAAGAACCCGAAACCCGAAACCCTACACTCTAAACCCTAAACCCTAAACCTTAAACCCTAAACCTTAAACCCTAAACCCTAAACCCTACACTCTAAACCCTAAACCCTAAACCTTAAACCCTAAACCCGGGCTTTAAGGGATGAGGTGGGGTGGGAGGTCAAGGGCTCATGCGTTCTTACTTCGGAGGGTGTTTAAGGGGGGCTCGTCTACTGACTCATGGTTGGTATAGTATTAAAGTTTCATAAAGGTTCTATTCCTTATTGGGTTTAAGTACCCTTCAACATGTAAAATGTTACCCAACCATGACCCCTAAACCCTAAACCCTAAACCCTAAACCCTAAACCCTAAACCCTAAACCCTAAACCCTAAACCCTAAACCCTAAACCCTAAAACCCTCTTGAGGGTGTTTAGCTTGTTTGTTGCGGGGGTTGAAGGTTTAGGGTAGGGCTTCGAAGGGCGTTTAAGACCCAAGCTTGGCAAACTTAGGGTTTAGGGTTTAGGGTTTAGGGTTTAGGTTGGATCGAAGTCGGAAATCGCCTCAAGCCAGCGGAGGTAGTGGAGAAATCCCTCAAGGATGCGGTAGGTTTAGGGTTTAGGGTTCGGGCCTTAGGTTTAGGGTGTAAGGGTAGAGGCATAAAAGGGGGTTCAGGGCTCAATAGGGTTGCCACAAGGGGGGTTTAGGGTTTGGGGTGTAGGGTAGTTTAGGGTTTCCGCCGTCTAATGCTTGAGAACTGACCATTGCCTGCGACGCCTGAGAGATCGCCTTCTCGTGCCCCAATGGAGCACCTTTGACTCAAAGCTCGGCTCTGTTCTCCTTTTCCGCAGCCTCATGCTGCAAGATGAAGTCCAGTGCATCATGTTGCCTGGGAGTCGGTCAACACTTCCACGGATCGCCAGCTCTAAAACTGCAAGCCTGTGGCTCGCATCCGGCTGCCCCCAAGTGATGCCCATGAAGAAATTCTCACTTCCTGGATTCTCATCTTCGTGAACCCTAAACCCTAAACCCCAAACCCCAAACCCTAAACCCCAAACCCTAAACCCTAAACCTCATCGATGGTGGGTACATCAGGCCTGGATTCTGAGAGTCTTTGAATTCCCAGACCTGGAAACCAGGTGCTTCGGAATTTTGGTTCGGAAGAACCGTAGATTTGGGGCTTCGAGCATTTCGGGTTTCTCAAGGAGAGGGCTTAGGGTTGAGGGTTTAGGAGCTGAGACGAGTCTCAAACCCTAAACCCTAATTTCCAATTTCCTAAACCCTAAAACCTCAACCTTAAACCCTAAACCCTAAACCTAATCAACTTCGGGCATCCGCCGAGGCGCGGTGCAGTCCGTGCGTGCCAGAATAGCATCCTCGCTGGTGGGCCCTGAACTCCAAGCCCAAAACACAAAACCGCGGCTGAGCTCTAGACACCCTAAACCCTAAACCCTAAACCCTAAACCCTAAACCCTAAACCCTAAACCCTAAACCCTAAATCCTGAACCCTGTACCCTAAACTCTGAACCCTGTACCCTAAACCTGATTCCTGGTTGGGATAGTATTAAATTCTAAATTTCTACTCCTTATTAGGTCTAAGTACCCTTGAATGAAAAGTGTTATAGAGTACCCTCAACCCTGAACCCTAAACCCTCGTCCCATCATGAAGGGAGCGCGGGTCCGCACCAACCTAATCTCGAAACCACAAGGCTTTCGAGCCTGAACCTAAAGGAGTCCTATACCTTGCTGCCTTGGTTTAGGGTTTAGGGCTGCTTAGGGCTTAGGGTTGAGGGTTTAGGGTTTAGGGCAACCAAAAAACCTAAACAAACGATTTTCCATCCCAAGCTTGACAGAAATCCGCCCCCCGAAAGGTCAGCTTTCAAAGGGCTCCGCCCCTCAACATCGTCCCATCGATCCATTCTGACGTAGAAGCGCCACAACATCATCCAACCGAACTGGGCCTGAGGGGCAAGCATAATGACGGGGTTCAGGGTTGGGTTTCGGGCTTCCAAAGCCCTACGCAGGGTGCCGATCAACCCTACAACCCATGACTCGTAAACCCTAACCCCTTTAGGGTTTAAGGTTTAGGGGGATCCCACATGGGGTCCAGGGCCTCCCCATAAAAAGAAGGTGCGAGTACAGTCCTCGAAGTCAAACTCGTCATTCGAGCCAAAAGAGTACACCACGCAGCCCTTGGACCTGACTCGGCGGAGGGCTTTTGGGCTCACAGGGTTTACAGGCGCGTACACTGACACACACACACACACGAGAAACCCAAACCCGAAAGTAGAAAAGCCCAAACTCTGGGGCTTGCAAGGTTTTCGGCATCCGAGACTGCGCGCTCTTCTCATTATGCCAAGAAGCACAAGCTTGCTTCACTCCCTACAGCTTGCGCCTGTGGCGCCCGCGTGCGAAGTTTGCAGAAAGGAGTTTTGGACGAGCGTTCTAGAGAACACTTAAAGCATTCCCCCCAAAGTGCTTGAACGTGTAGTACTGTTCTGAAGAGGCCCGGAGCCTGTTTGGGCCAAAATACACCGTTGAACCTACTCCCAACATGCTTGAAGCCTTTGTTCATGAGTTCGTCGGCTTGCACGACATGACTCAGGTGCCCTATTCTTGTTCACGCTTGGCATGGTTTGGTTGAGACTAATCCGGTCGGTTTTTGGGAAGTTTTGCTAGGCTGGTTGCTAAGCCCCAGTAAAAAGCCGCAGAAATATTGAGCGAGGATTTTTTTGTCAATTTGTCTGGTGTTTTTTTTTGTGTTTTTTTGTTTTTCCTTGCTTTTCTTATGGTTTTCTGAACATGCCCTCTGGTTCTGCCTGTCCTCCTCCTCCTCCTCTGGTTGGAATTCTTCTCTGTGTATTCTGCTGTTTTTTTTGGTGAGTTTTTCTGGTGTTCAGCTTCCGCAGGCTCCTCAGCGGTACCGCATGTCCGGAACCTGACCACATCTAATAACCCTTGGGGTAGCATTCCCCCCCCCCCCCATTTGCAGACACAATCTCACAAGATGAGGTTTGCAAGCGATTCGTATGGCCTAGAAGCACGCTTGGGCGGCTAATAAAAAAGCGGGGGGGTTGGGGGGGGCGCAGCCCCCCCCCCATTTGCAAACACAAAAGTTTTCAAATGGGATTTGTTTGATCTAACAGCTAACAGCACGCTTGCACGGTTTTTAAAACAGCGGGGTTTGGGGGAGGGGGGGGGGCAAGGCAAGGGAGTCGTATAACCTCAAAGCACGCTTGCACGGCTTTAAAAAAAGCGGGGGAGTGCGGAGCCCCCCGCCCCCCCCCCCCCCCTCGCCATTTGCAAGCACAATGCTCGCCCCCACATTTGCAAACGCAACACTCGCATGATGAGGCTTCATATGGTCTCGAAGCAAGCTTGCAAGGCTCAAAAGCGGGGGGGGGGGGGGGGGCGGGTTGGGGGGGGGGGGGTTTGGGGGGGGGGGTTTGGGGGGGGGGGGGGGTTGGGGGGGGGGTTTGGGGGCGGGGGGGGTTTGGGGGGGGGGGCCGCATTTGCAAACGCGATGCTAACAATGATGGGCTTGGAAGGGGAGTGGTCTGTGGTCTTAACATGTCTTAAAGCAAGCTTGCACAGCTGGACCGCAGGACCGGTCTCTCCTGACCAGGGGAACGCAGGACCATTTGACCAGGATCGCAGGATCAGAGAACCAGAGGACCAGAGTAAGAAAAGAGAAAAGACAGAGCCAGACCTAGGCAAAAACAACACCGGACCGGCTAGAGCCGTAATCCCCTACCTCAAACACTCAGACACTCAAACCCTAAACCCTAATTACAAACCTAAATCCTTCGGGTTTACTACTGCCCGGCCGCTGTGCCGACGGGCGTTTGTTTTATCCTCACAGGGTCCACATACGGGTTTTGGGCGTCTCGGGTTTACGGTTTATGGCGTAGGGTTTTTAGGGTCAACCAAGAATGTGCGAAGCGAGCGGAACCCTAAACTCATTCCATCCTTCCTTTCATCCTTCCTTTCTTCCTTCCTTTCTTCCTTCCTTTCTTTCATTTTTGGTTTAAGTATTGCGTTCTTTTTGTCTGTATCTCTTGCTTTCTTGCTCTCTTTATGTCTTTCTCTCGTTCTTTCTGTCTTTCTTTTCTTTCTTCCTCACTTCCTTCCTTTATTTCTTTTGTTATTTTATTCTTTCTTTCTTGCTGTATTTCTTTCTTTCCTCCTTTATTCCTCTCTTCCTTCCTTTACTTATTTCTTTCTTGCTTTCTTGCTGTCGTTGTTTCTCTCTTTCTTTCTTGTGTTGTTCTTTATTCCTTTCTTTCTTCCTCCATTCCTGCCTTTCCTTTTTGCTTTCTCTCTTTCTTTCTTTGTTGTCTTTCTTTCTTTCTTTCTGTTTTCTTTCTAGTCATGCCTTTCTTTCTTTCTTTCTTTCTTGTTTTTTCTGTCTTTCTTTCTATTCCTGCCTTTCTTTCTTTCTGTATTTCTTTCTATCTTTCTTTCTATTCCTGCCTGTATTTCTTTCTTGCTGTTTTTCTTTCTATTCCTGCCTTTCTTTCTTTCTTTCTTTCTTTCTTTCCATATTTGGTGTCTTTCTTTCTTTCTTCCT